TATTCTGCAGGTATGTGCGGTACCGTCCTGGAAAACTTAGTTCAGTGAAAAAGAGGTTAAAAATCAGCCCACGTGTCGGTTCTTTTAACAGCCCACTTAAGGCTGTAAATTTCCGATCAATTTTGACTAGAATTTCAACGATACGGTAGCCGCGGTCATCATGCTTTGTAACTCGCAATTGTAAAGAAATATGGGAATTGCGAACGACCCGCATCTTGAAAGTTTCTTAAAATTCTTTTCGAGACTTCACTAAAATAGAGGCGTGCTTCCTTTTCGCTCGAAATGATACATTTCTAAGATGATGACAGCCAAAACACAGCTCTTTTAATAGATAATCTTTGTTTTATGGTCAATGATAAGGACATTTTTCAACTGAAAATCTAAATGCAGAAGTGCTCTCGAGAGGGCAATCTTGAAAATTTTACGGTCGCAACAAGGTACCTAAAAAAGCAGTTACGCGAATCCCCTCCTCCGTTGTCACAACTCATGTAGTCTTCTTATCAGATTCGGAACAGCTCATTAAAAAAATCCATTTCACCTATTTTTTAAGCCACCATTACCCGTTTCTCCTCCCCTCCTCCCATCCAGTTCTTACCATTTCAAAGACTTCCATCCCTCACGGACATGAAGGATCTGTACCAAAGTAAGTGCTTTTTATGCACTGCCCGGTGTCAAAAATTAACTTACAAAGCGATGTCCTACGACATTCTGGGCCGTGATGCCAGGTCTAGCTGTGAGCCCCCCAACTTTTTCGAGATGTGACGGCTGGGAAACTCTCAGTCAAAATTTTTGAGGTATGCTTCAAATTATTTCTGTAAAACATATGCTTCACTGAGGATGCGAGTTGAAAAAGTGGTGAATGTTTGAGAACAAAAGCATACTTTTGTTAATAATTCAGAAGAAAGATAAACTCCGCAAATCCGAGGATTACGAGGATCTTATGCTATTATTCCACTTTTAGCTTTTACTGTCAAGGTTATTTAACAAGTAAAACAGCAACCGCCAGAAAAAATGTTCTGTGTCGCTCCGAGGAAATATGTTTTTTTGGATGGCCAGAACAGAGGAACGTTTGGTGAAATGAAAAATTCAGAAATTTTTGAGCCCAACAAACTGTCGTCAAGATAATTACAAGTACTGATCTTCTGCAACGAATTGTGTAGGGGAGATAAATCATATGAGATATGAAGGCCACCAACAAATCAATTTATCCAGCAATCGAAAAAAAAAGAGCTAGGATTAGCGTCGAATCCTCGCATTTCCAAAACGCATCCACACGGAAAGCGTCAGCATATCTGTGCATGGCTCCTCCACCGCGCCAAAACAAAGACAAAATTGCGAGTGAATAAGAGAACTTTTGAAGCTGCCAAAAAATTTTTTGGAGAAAACATAAGATCGAAATTTAGCCACACAAAACTCAATGCTGCGGCAAAATATGACAATGAAACCAGCGCTGGTCAGGAGTTCGTCTTTTGCAGTGTCTAGAACGCCGGAACTATTAAAAAACTGCAGCCGGATGAGGAAGTGGAGAGCAACAATGAGCTTAGCCTCATTATGCTTTTTTGCATATCATCAGTCAGCAGAAACGCATGTTGTGATGACCCATGGTTTATGCGCGTATGTATGTATGCCCGGGTATTTCAACTCGGCAATCTGATAAGATTAGATGCTGAAAATTTGCCAGTGAGTTTCCTGCGTTAACCCCCACTCTCGGCATCCTGCTCATTGTCCAATTTGCATTTTCTGCAAACGACCGGTGACAATAAATCATTTCCCTTCGTGCAAAATTTACAGTAACTATGCACGGCAGAGGTTAAGACTTCACATGGCCCTGTGATATGACATTACTGTTTCAGCTTCCGTAAAACACAGTCAACACAAATGCAAATATTAAACTATAAAGCAACAACCATTCATACTGCTGACGATCTGATTACTTCAAACTCAGTGCAAAAACGCATGATCTCACCAAGTCTGGTGCATCGCTACGTGGGTTCGGTTTATTACACCGTCATTTTTTAAGCAGCTCATTCCGAAGTGTACAGCATCGATTGAGCATGAGGCGTGTATCAGACGGACGGGCCGAGAATTAAAGATAACCATGCGAACTACACTGTAAGGCGCCCTCGCATTAAAACAAATATAAAAGATGGTGAACAAAAAACACACTTCGGTGAAAAGGGGTTGGCAGCACATCTGCAATACATTGAATTCGCTCAGCGTTGGTGACAGGCCGTAATATGGCTGGAAGAAATTGGATGGGTAAATGAAACTTGGAGTGGAACTTGCTGAACATGACGGCTGCATGATTGGCGAGTGCGCAGTTGCAGTACAGGATTCATCGGAGAGGTGATAGCAGCAACTCTGCGCCGTAATACAGGGAGCAGAAGCGGCCAGAGATACAGCCGAATCGTAGAGATTTGCAGCAGTAAAAACACTACTAGTACTAGTGCTACTAGAGGCACTCGGCGAGCGAACAACAACAGAAGGTGGACGAAGCGGGACATGTCCAGAGCTACCAGGAGCTACAATCACTGGGGTTTGCTGCGACCGGTCAAACTCGGCTGCGAGAAGCGCACAGGATGATGATAAGCGGCTACTTGGCAGTGCCGGCTGATAGTTGCTGCCGGTGCTATCAGTGAAGCACAGTACTGTTGCTGATGGCGCTACTACTGCACCGAAAACATCACTGTCGGCCTGCTGCTGTTGAGGTTGTTGAGGGTGATGTTGCCGATGGTGATGAGTACTCGAACAACTCATCGCTGTAAATGCTGACGTAACAGGAGTGCCAAACGTAACCGTTTAAAATATCGCTGCTGGTGACTGCTGCTACAGGTCAACGTTTGATTCATTTCACGTGCACAGCTCCTGCCTTATTGTTGTAGAGCTAACAAAGCTGGTATTCCGGATATATCGAATAACAGTTTCGCTGGATGCTATTCCCGCAAAAGCGAATATCCAATTTCTGATATCCTACTTGACGAT